TCAAGAAGACTGAATGATGAAGAAAAGTGTTTGGACAAAGTAGGACTCGTCTCTACACCTGAGACAACGCATATTGAAAAAACTCAAAGATGTTCTTCTACCTAGACATCTCCTCCTCTGATAACCATCTGGCTTAAACGTAATATGACACCGGGGGCAGAACCCGGAGAGCTTCAAGGTCTGTCTTTAGGAGGATCCTCGTCCACGTACATGCTGTCTCACCCATGCTACAAAGTGGGTTAACACAGGCTATGTAAACTCACTATCCAAAGTCAGAGAGGCTATAATGCATGTATATTCCTTCCAACTGTGACTGGTTCTCTCTCTCCCTGCCTCTTAATCTCTTTATATACATATATATATGTATATATACCTCATTTATATATACTACATTCATTTATGTATACATACCTACATAGACATATGTGTATCTTGTGTATATAACTATATATGTATGCATATGGAATATGTATAGTGTACATGCATATACGTATATAAAAGACACATATAAAGAGAATAAGAGAGGCAGGGAGAGAGAATATGTGTGTAAACACACACACACACACACAAATATGTAGTGCAATTCAATTCCATTCAATTTCATTAAATTCAACCCACATTTAGAGTCTTTGCCATGCGCTGGTCGACACAAGACACTAGACACCGAGTCACAGAAGAGTGAAACCGACCTCCAGCAGCTCGCCATCTAGAGGGAAGATAAACTGAACCCACACACCGGCATGGTGGCCACTTAGAATGGGAGGCAGTGTGGCTTGGTGGTTTTAGATCAAGGATGGTTCATATGTGTGCATGCATCATGCTGGCTGGGCGAGGGTCCCGCTCTACCACTGTCAAGCTCTGTGACCTTCAACAGGCAGTCTGAGCCCCAGGGTCCTCATCAATAACATGAACATCGACACCAGCACCTTCTTCATGGAGCAGTGAGAAATTAACGATACCACCAGTGAAAGCGCTTACATTGGCACACAGAAGGCATTCGATAAAAGGGAACTTCTACTGTTACAATTATTATCCTTATTGAGAAAAGGGTGCTTTTGTGTCGAGGGGCACAAAAGAAAGAAAGGTCTGTGTAACTTGGGGGTGTCAGGAGGAGCTTCGGGGAAGAGGTGGCATAAGGAACAGGTGTTTGTCAGGAGAACAACAGGGACAGAAGGAATTCCGGGGATATGAAACAGTTTGTTCAAAGGCCCTGAGGCATGAAACATCCTGGCATATCCTGAGAACTGCCAGCAGATCAGCACAGCAGAGTAAGGGTTCAAGATCAAAAAGAAGCCACAGTCAGATCTAAAAGGCCACCAGAGAGCTTCAAACAATGGGATGACAAGATCAGACTTGCTTTCAGAAAGGTTTAGGTACTATCCAACTGAACATGATTTCACCTTCCTCAGGTCACCGTTGTGAGGACCAGTTATCACAAATACCACCAGACTATATTAATGCCACAAAACAGAAGACTTCTTGTCATTCACATGTTCTTTCCTCTGTTCACGAGTCTTCAAAAGCTTCTTGTTGTTTTGTTTCAGTTTTAGTAAATAATTGGCTTACTTTTACATGCTGGTTTCATTGCTGCAGAAGGTTTTCTTTACCACTAATGTCTTACAGAACGATTTTCATTTTTGTTTTGTTAATGTTTACTTATTTTTGAGAATGAGAGAGAGAGAGACGGAGTACAAGCAGGGGAGGGGCAGAGAGAGAGGAAGACACAGGATCTGAAGCAGGCTCCAGGCTCTGAGCTGGCAGCACAGAACCCAACATGGGACTTGAACCCACGGACCGCAAGATCATGACCTGAGCCAAAGTCAAATGCTTAATGGACTGTGCCACCCAGGCGCCCCTTACAGAATGATTTTTACATACTCATCTTCCTAACCACAAGGAGGGTCTTCAGTGGCCCCTTCTTAGCATCCGTAAGAGCCAGACAGTAAATCGTTCACCCTCCAAGTACGCAGACAGCGATCACACGCGGCGGATCAGATCTGAGAGACGGAGGCGGATGTGGGAGGCAGAGCCATGATCGGGGTTAGTACTGGAACTAGAAGGAAAATCATATCCCCGGGAAAAAAGCAGTAGGAGTGAACCAAGAAGGTCACAGAAGAAGAAGAAGGACACGTGCCGTGACACAAAAGGGGTTGACGAAAATGCAAAGTGGACCTCTTAAGGGCATTTAGTGACAAAGGAGGTCCTGGAGGGAAAATTTGGAGACAGGCAACTAAACTGTTTAAATGTGTCTCGATTCATTTGCTCACGTTATCATTCATGAGATCAGCCTATTAGTCGATTCTCCGAATTCTTTGTTCAAACATGTTCTGGGTACAGAGAAGATAACGTGACACTGCAGAACAGCGCGTGGTTTCTGACCATGAAGGACTCAGCACAGGAGAAAAGAGAATTCCTTCTGCTCAGGTGTGAGTGGGCACCTGATACGTGCCAGGTATTGTCCTAAGTGTGGCTTACATATGCTGTCTCGTTTAATCTTCATGCGACGCCATTGATAAAATCAGCAGCCAGGGACAGTCTTCTTTCTGGCCCCATTTTCCATTGCTCCGTATTAGAGCAAACAGAGGCAGCAGGCGGGAAAGAGAGCTGAAAACTGCCAGTCGGCAGATACCTCCATCGCTTTAGACGCCACCGCCCCCACCCCCCAAACTGACATCAAAGGGTCTGGTCTTAAGATTTTCCGAAAACAAACACTGCTTCTTGCAATACCCTTTTTCCCTTTGATTTCACAAGCATTGACCCCCCCCCC